GCACATTAAATCCCGATTTAAGATTACGTTACAATATAAAAAACGTTACTAATGTATTATTATGTTGCATTTTGCAGACGAAAACGTCTTCTAGTGACTTATTTTTTGAATTGTGGTAAATGAAATAAATTACTATTTATATATTTTTTCTCTATTTAACGCTGATCGATCAAAATTCAAGATGAAACGGGTTAATCGTACGCGTTTCGTGGTTGATCCTGTGTGGAAACTTGTGAAACGTGACAACTATGAAAAAATATGGAAGATCTTCTTGTATGACTGAAAAATGTGGCTTTATTGGATTTGACATGGAGTGGTCCAGTATAAATAATAAACCTGTTGATGGTCAAAAAACACAAACCAGAAGGAAACAAATCGAAGGTCAAGTAGCTACACTGCAGCTAACTTTCCTACACATAACTTTTGTTGTGAAGTTTATCGATTTATTCTACCTTTCTACTAAAGGTAAATGTTATAACCCTTTTGATCGCTTTTCCAAAAAATGGCCTCAATATCGTATTGGTGAAAAAGAGAATTCAGTCGATTTGATAAATAAGATATACCAAGATATTGTGTCACTTCTTTGAAGTGATGCTTTTGTCAAGGTAGGAGTAGGAATTCGTGGTGACCAAGTCAAGCTTCAGAGAGACTATGAAAACTTAATTCTAAATCCGTGTGTCGATTTGGTCTCATTGGTTCAGCATTATCCTGCAAAAAAGTTGGATTCTACCTCTTCTTGTCCTCATGAAGATTCAAAAAGTTTAAATATGGGGAAAAGCCTAAAAGCAATGAGTGTTAACTTTACTGGTAAGATACTAAATAAAGATTATTTTGTAATTCTGAGTAACTGGTGTGGAGCTCTAGGATCTCTTTCAAAGATGCAGATAAACTGTGCCGCAGAAGATATAGAGGCTTAATTTGATATCTGTCAGAGTATATTTGTACGAGCTGGACTTGTCCCGAATATTTCATTACTTTCATCGATTTCAGGTGCCTCGTGTCTTTCTCTATTGGAGCCTCTCATCCTTAAGATTGAAAAAAATACCCCCAAACACACTGAAAAGCAGAAACCACCTTTCTATGATACTTCTGTGCCTCCACCAAGTTATGATTTTGTTTCAAATAACGTGAGTACGATATTGAATGATGACACCTTCAGTACAAACGTAAATTTCACCCTTAGGGAAAGTAACTCAAGGGAAAATCATCACATTTATAAAAAAAATGTCAAAGTAATAGAGCACTTAACAGAAATCAAATACTTAAAGTTGAAAGGACGCATTTGTGACATGGTTTAGTTCACTGGATTCTCGAACATAGAACAATGCACATATGACGTAGCTTAAAGAATATTAGGCAGTCAAAAAGATAGATGTGCTGTATGTGAACAAACTCTCTCGGTTGATAACTATGTCATTGCGCTCCTCACGTTTTGTAAGTGCTTTTCGAGTGCCTTTATTGTAAACAATTATTAGGATCTTCTTTTGATCTTTACATCTTTTTTTTGTTTGAATGCATACCATCTACATACAAATGTGTAACCACATGGAGGAATATTGTGGAATTCTTATATTGTATTTCTTATAGCCAAAAATAAAGTCTTTTGCGACCTTAATTGTTATTTAAAAATGAGGATGTCTGTGAACAAGGTAGCAGCTACAGAGGGCAGGGTTTGGATCGGAGGGAAAACAACTGAGTCAATTATGTGCTCCATCATTGATTATTGATTCGGAAAATCATAGTTTAGATATAGAATCCTCATATGAAAAGAAACTATTTAATCATTTTTTAGATTATAGCGTATTAGTGCTTTGGAAAGCTATTGCAGCAGACTTCTGTAGCCTAGTGAATGTCCTCTTTGTAGTGCTACTAAACCCAAGTTTTTGAAGAGAATATTCCAGTGAATTTAGATGACTTGTTTAGAATCCTATGTAAAAAGTTATTTCCTTCACTGACTCTTTTTTGGCTTCATAATGTTCCATGCAACATATCATTCGTACATTTTGTTCAGACATATAGGGCAACTTTAGGACAAGGGTTGGAACACATTTGGAAAGATAAAACGTTACCAGACAATTATCGGGTTGGTCTAGTCTAGCTTTAAGTTGCAATGCATCTTGAAGCTATGAATATGTCCCTAAAAACGACACGTACGGAAGGAACGCTGGAGGGGGAAAAAAAGGAATAAAGAAAATGGTGGGCCACTTATAGGCAATTATAACCTTTTTATGGATTGGTTCCTAATGGAAAAGTAGACGATTCTCTAGTCAAAAACCCAACCCAGTGGGAGCTACTGAGGAACCTCTTTCTTTTTTTTACAACATCTGATGACATTGATAGATAACCTTAGCAGTATTATCATCAACCGCTCTGATATATTTTTTCTCATTTACTGCATACAGGGATAGATACTTAGACGTCTCCCTAAAGATTGCATTATATTCTTTCTTGCCAAGTAATTTGCTAGTCAAAGTATCTGAATATCACCCCTACTTTCTTTTTTGGAAACTACTCAGCTTCCCCCTATCCTTTGTTTTTACTTCATGTTGTCACTGTCATACTGTTGTGTTGGAATGGAGTGTAGTATCCTTGTAGCTCTTCGTTGCAGAATTCAAAGACACCTCTTACTGCATTAAACCTGGAGGACAATAATCTTGAGAGAGGAATGCATCCAGGTCTGTCAAGCTTACTGCGCACCCTTCAGTTACAAAAAAGCGAAAAGCGCACGATAACATCCAAACAGTTTGCCGCGTGCGTTACGCTACTATTCCCCGACCCCCCAAAGCGGCAGTCTGCTGGCCGACCTAGCGATGGGCTGAGCGTTAGCGCAAGCCGTTATGTTTCACCAGGTTGGCAAAACGCACTTACTCTATTGGAGCTATCACGCTACTGCGACCCACCAAGTGCTCAAAAACGGATATCGAAGCCCCATCACTCTGTTGATGCGGTTGAAACCGAAACAACGGAAAGGATACTTAATCTCGGTCGGTTTCCCCTCCATCCTGATGGTTGGACAACTGCCCTCTCGGTGCTTGAACGATGGCGACAGCTTCAAGGACCTGAATATGGCAAGTCCTTTCCGAACTCGCTGTCCGTTGAAGCTGCCGCCGATCTCGCCTACCTTGTTAGTTTCAGCAAACCGACCGGAGAGGGTGTCACGCCCTCATGGCAGGAGGTTCTGAGCCTGTACCAGTATGCCGTGCGGCATACCATTGACTCCTCGGATAATTCCCGTAGCTTTCGCTCCCTCCTCCAAGGGATGCGACACACTGTGTCATCGGCGCTTCTTCATAGTGGGGAGTGGCTGAAGGCATTACATTTGTTTAAGCACGCGCTCTACCAACATGATGCGCCTGATAGCGTCTCGACTGGACACCTGATTCACAACTTAGGTAAGAAGCAGCAATGGGAGGCAGTGATGGAGATCTACGAATTGTGTGTGGCACTACTGCAGCGTGAGCGTGCGACCCCGAAGTGTAGACGGTCTGTTGAGCTGCAGTGGAGACTGGCCAAACAGTGGGGAACTACTTTTTCAATGGCCATGACCACGGTGAGCAAAGAAGGCTGTCAGCCACACCTCTTGAAGTCAATGCTGAAGACTTTGTTGCAAGATTCAAATAAGCTGTCACCTCTTCCTTCCTCATCTAGGTCTGGCTTTTCCATTCCGTTGGCGCAGCTGGACGGTAACTTTTTGGAAGCGGTGCAGTCTGTGGAGAATGAAAGGGAGCGAGTTGAGATCCTGGAAGAAGCTCGACAGGCTAATATTTTGGACTATTATAAACTCATCCGTGGTCTGACATCTAAAGGCAAGTTGGATGAGGCAATGGCTGTGTTCACAAAAAGTATGCAAAGTGATCCACCTAGCCTCTCCCGTCGAGAAATTGGTTTAAGTCGTCTTCATTTACTCCACATTAGCTCTCTTGAACATGTTGAAAAAACAGTTGAAGCGCTGCAACAAGTAAGAAACCGGAAGCAGAGCTTTGAGCTTCTTTTAAACAACGCGGAGGTGGAATGCATCCTGTCGAAGACACTCCAAGCAACTACTTCACCTCCCGTTTCGTCCTTGCCAACTTCATCCACATCAATGTCCACCAAGGAAATAGGTGCCTCGAATTTTTGGAGGTACTGTTTGCAAATTCTACAGAAAACCTATGTGGATTTTTGGCAAATCGGTGCAAAGGCCTCTCGTAAACCGACATTGGCGTCGCTCTCGTTTATATTACGGAACGAGAGCCTACCATGGCAAATAGCGCTACTTATCGTAAACAAACAAAAAGATCTTCCTGATGAAAGTCCGCCTTCAGAATCGCGGAACCAGTGGGATACCCTCTCCTCATCCACAACCATTGTAAGTGGCAACACTCACAAAGCTCAATCAGTGCCAACCAGAGTCCTTCTTCTTAATGCTGCGGCACGGCTATTGTATAATCAGGGGCAATCGTCGAAAGCTGACGATCTTTCTTTGAGTATCATTCGAGACTTCCAGGTATCGCCATCCGCTACATTCTTGATGCGGTGTTCATGGTCTATGCTGGTGCAAGTACTCCTGCAAGATGGTGTGAGTGTCGACTCACGCGTGCTTTACCATATCCTACACGATTGTCGCCATGACAACAGTCAAGATCTGAGTTATTCACTCCGTCCGTTCGTCATTGTGTCGTTCCTCATTGACATGCATGCTAGCGGTGGTACAGAAAACTGGTTGCCTGATACCGTTCTGTCTCTCATTGAGGTTGATGTAGATCTCAAACAGTTGCTATCGAAACGGAAAAAGCAGGTATTAGATGCTTCATTTGGTTCAAATCCCCAGAAGCAACCCTCGTGCCGATCGTGGCTGATGTGCGTCCCCGGATCGATCCATGTGGAAATCCTAAAAAGGCTTAAAGAACCAGTACCGTGGGCCGATGAGGAACTCCGCTGGGAACTTGTGGTGTCATACATTAGCCGCCTCACCCCATCACCACTGCCAGTTGCTACGGAAGCCACAAGTGATTCAAACCCCTCTGAAAAGATGCATGAAAGGTATTATTGTACAGTTTACGAAGCGGTTCTAACGTTACTAACACTTCTACCGAAGCTTTCCTCTGCAGCCCCCGCCAAGTCCGATATTCAAGTCGCGACGGAGCCCCTCGGCGACGATCTCGCTCGCCCCTCGCCATCCGTGCAAAAACACATACGACTCCTGCAGGGGCTGATAGGGCATGCCACCGCGCAGCTGCGGTTTTCCCCCCCTCCGCACATGCTCTTACCCAATCAGACGGACCGTCTGCTCCCACGGCCTCCCACTGAAAAGGGCCGAGGGAGCCTAGTTGACCCGATCGCGCGCTGTGCGGTGGCGGAGGCCCTGGTACGGTCCAGCTGCCAGGTCTTGCAGGGCCACGTGGGGGGGCCTGGACGCGGCCTGACCTCCCCAGGCCCAGTGACCCTCCACAGCCTCGTGAAGCTGTGCTGCCGTGTCGCGGAGTGGAGGAAGGAGCTGGGGCTCACAGGACAAACAGGGGAGGCCATGGCACTAGAAGCGTGCGCGCAGGAACTGATTCAACGGCAAGGCGATACCTGCGGGATCCACACTGTCTATCCCAGCAGCTTGCACCTGCTATACAAGCTGTGTGCGGTTCGAGGTCGGCAGTGGGAACGCGCCTTGCAGGTGACAAAGTACTTGATTGAACTAGAGAAAAGGGTAAATCAGACGGAGGAAACGAACGAAAATAATGGAGTCGACCTGCCGGAGGATTCCCTTTATAAACGGGTGAATCAAGAACATGCTCACCGCATGATGCGGGTCGTGCAGCCAAGCCATTACCAGGCGTTTCAACGCCTTTTTGGTTGGGAGCATGGGCTACAGTTGTGGTTTGATCACTTTCCAAGTGAAGTCATACAACGCGTGAGTGAGAATCCGGCAGCACTAAACTGGTGTTTATCAGCTTCCGACACCGGAAAGAAGTGATTGGAGAAGCTATTTAGAGGAAAGAGAAGTGATAAGTGTCTGGTACCCAGTCTTTACACGTTTTTCACTACCATACTTTCCCCCACCCCTGTCTGTGGTCTTATATCAAAAAAAAGAATCAAAATAAAGTTTGCTTTATTGAGCATCGTTGCTGTTGCTTACAAGTAGATTTGAGAAAATCATATTTTTTTTTCCCACAAAAAGTGTTCTATTTTCTGCATACTTTCTCTATCCATCATCAACATCCCTTGATTTGTGTTTGGTAATGTGTACAAAATCACTAATGCAGTAAATACTTCTAAGGTTCTTCACGGTGAGAGATATAAAAAAAAGGTAGTGAATTTTTTTCCTCAAACCAGTCCGACAAGTAGTTTATCAGGCAATCTTCAGGATTATTTGAAATAGTTACCAAATCTTGTGTCCTTCGCCAATAGCTGACCTTCTCTTCATGTTGAAATATCATTCAACACTACACCATAGTTCAATGTTTGTGGTTCTCGCGTTCGTATTGTGTAACTTTGCAATGACAATTTCTGGAAAAAATGGTGTTATTATGATTAAAGACAAGCATTTCTCAACATTGCAAGATACGTACAATGACGACAATAATGATTTTGCTGACTGGGCTGATACGTTCATCCTATTGGGAGTTTCTATAGTGTTCTCGGGGGTTATCTGTGTTGTCGTTCTCCTTATCAGGTACAAGCAGAAGCTTCACCGACATAACACAGGATCCTTTCTGAGTACTATAGATGGATCTGATCTCACAACAGAAGATACGTCTAGTTACACTGGAACAGAGCTTAGCGTTGATTTCACTCAACAATGGGAAGAGGATTCTACCTTCGTTCCTATTCCACTCTCACCAGAAACTACAGGAAACTTCAAAAATCTAAATCATGAAGCTGTCGATCAAACAGCCCCTCAAGAGGAGAAGTATCCTCACACAAACAGGTCAGAGTGGTCTAAAAATCAAAACAACCCAACAGTCGAGCAGCAAAGGTTAGCCATGCAGAATGTCTCCACTAGATATCCAATGAAGAACCAGACATCATTCATGTAAATAACGTCTTGTCTGTAATAGATCTCGAAATTATGTTTAGCACAATCATGTTTCACTTTCTAGCTAATGAATACAAAAAAAAGCCTAAATAATGATATTTGTTTTGAGTAATAATTGTTTTTAGCTTATTAAATGTCTTTTATCTTGTGGAATTGCCACAATTTAGAACTTTTGCTTGTCTTTTTGATTTTAGTAATGACCTTGCTGAAGAACCTAAGGCTCCATTGGTTATTCAAATTTCTCAATTTATGCATTCATACTTTTTTGATCAGATTTCACTTTTATGTTAAGAATCATGTCTTGAATGCTTTACTGGTACTATTCATTTTTCCGAAAAAATCGCTTATTTTTACTTCAATATGTTAAAAGGTTATCATTTCTGTGTTTTTCGCCATTGAATAACTTTGATGAGTTTCAACGAAACTTAGTGCACTGAAATTTACACAAGACTAAATTATATGATTGATTTTGCATTGATGCACACTTTGAATAACAAAAGGGCTCGGGAAACCCTTCAAGTTTATGTTTTGTGAAGTAAATATCCAAATAAACAAATTTTATTTTTGAGGGATACATGTAAATTACATTTCTTCTCTCACCTATGTGTATGCTTTCTTAATTTTATGAGGTTATCTATTTTTTGCCTACGTTTTATTTATCTGATATTTAAAACTTATGCTTATGATGTACATCTTTATCAGCTCTTAACATCTGATGAAACGCATCGTAACACCTTTGACTGATGTCGTTGTCTTTTTTTCTACTAATTTATCACATAATTTCTATGAATCTATTTAGTGAATAAAATATAGCCTCACAGAGTATGATGTAATGCAGAGGGTGGGAATCCTAATTCATTGCGTGTCCAAACGCTCCTTTCTGGAATTAACCAATATATGAAATATGAATAAAGGACTTTATGGGGGAATGACCCTCCTTTCTCAGGTCTGGTGATAACAATGATGAAAAGTGTAGCTGTTTTCATTATCACAGCTAATACACCGTACTGCAGAACCCTAAATAAAGGTATATAGGTATTACAAAACGATGCATAGCCTAACTATCGATTATCCTCCTTCGCCACGACATAGGGAATGGCATAAAAATATCTAAGACATATAACATGAAGTGAAACTATTTTCTTCCTCCTCTGAGGATAATAAAATGGAAAGGTAAAATCCTAAATTCAATGCACGAAGCAATGCTATAGATGACACCGAACCTGATGAGCTGCATCAACTCATCCGCTCTCTAAACAAAAAACAAGTATTGCAGGTGTGGACTCAGTTTTCCTGCGCAATTTTTTCATCTATGGTATTACATATTCTTGCTTCTTTCAAATGCCAAACTGATAAATTGTAGTGTATAAATTCAATTATTCGACTATTCTTTTTATTGTTATACATATTCACTATCATTTGACTCTCGTGTCATCTGTCAAAATGTGCGATCTACCTTCTTTATTTGATTTCCTTATGCATTTATTACTGTCTTAACAGGATTTATGAGATCACACGCGAAGCAATGAACCATTTTACGTATATGAATAAACTTTCCTACCGCCTCTGCTCTGCACATTCCTGTATTATTTTGTACGGTTGTTATGTCGCACGCGATCCTTTTGTTGGTTATTAATTTCAGTTTATGAAAATTGATATCATTTCTGTTGCTAAAGAAATATTTTTCTATTTATTCCTTGGTAAAGAACGGATTCGGATTTCTACTCCTTTATTTCATCATTGTTCGTGTGACCATCCCAGTAAAGAATTATTAAATATACAATACGTAACTAACCTGAACTATCCTTTTTCTTGAAGGTATTAACGTGCAGCTAGCAACTTTTTTTATCAATAACATATTTTTATCTCTACCTTTTAACAGCTTGGCTCCAATATCAACATTCATAACCGCTGCAGTGAGGAAAAGCGTGATCACATCGATATTAGTACTAAAAATAAATTTCCTTTGCTATAAAATAAAAAAAACGTTTGACCTAAGATTCTGTATGCAAAACAAGAGCAATTATTCTTTTTTTCCCTCACATGAAATTAATCAAAAACTTTTGCATGTTCAAGTATGAAACCCAAAGGGAGCCCAGCTGCCTCTCTTGGTATAAAAACTCTTCCTCTCTTTTTTCTTACTATTTCCTTTCCTGTCACGAATTCCCAATTTACCCCGTTATTGGTCTGGGCATCGGCAAGTTTGTTTGTTTGTTCTTTTCCCAAAGGTGGGAATAAAAAAAAGAGGAATCCCAATAACGAAATTCTACGTGTATCGGTAGGTGAATCGGCGCTTTTAAAAACGCCCAGGATGGGAAGTGTGGTCACCACGCTTGAGGGGAAAGCGAAGGCTCATGAACCCAAACGGACCCGAAACACCCCTTCCCTCAAACCGGTGAAGTTGACACCTTCCGGAGATTTCACAGAGTCGGCAAGGACCTTTCTTTCTACGACGAAGACGCCAACGGCGGTGGGTGATCTGGAGCCTAAGGGAAACGACCCGGAATCTCTCGCATCACGTCGTGGGACAGTCAACTTCCTGGACGCGACGCAAAGCTCCGTGAATGTCGAGGTCGAGTCGATTAAAAATGAGTCCCCCGATCGAGAAACCAACGCAAATTCCAGTATAACAACGAGGGTGAGATCGCTTAGTAGTATTCTTCTAAAGTCCACTCATTCCAACGGAAGTGTGGAGAGTAAGGAGGGTCTACAGAAGGCGTCATGGGCAAGTGGGCATCATCTTGGCAACCCAAACGATGATATCGAACCTAGAGTGCAGAACACTCTTAGTGATCTCTGTGCTCTAGAGAAGGAAAATATGTTTGGCCGTGTGCAGCTACTCGTTTTGCGAATGCAAAATTGTCGTGTCGAAGCAAAATACAACGAATGGTGCGCAAAATTGTCTGAAGAGAAATAAGTGGGAAATATCGCGTGAGGAGGTTCCCGCCGAGAAACTCCATTATCAGGCTATTTGAAACAATGCCATGCTGAGCTAATCTATCAAATAATCCAAAGTGTAAAAATGCTCAGGTTGAAAAGATACTTTGAGGTCTTTTTATTTTATTGTTATTAAAGGTCTGATTCAAATTCCTATTGGTACTTGTGTTGATATTTTCTAATGATTGATGAAGAGGAAGGGTCTATTTAATACGCATTTACCTCACCTTCATACCTTCATCAAAATATATTTCATTTTTATCCTTACGAACCTCATAAAATGTGATTTCTCTGAATCACTTTATTATGTAGTGCCGGTTCTTCATAGTCCGAGAAATATATTCTTAAGAAAATTTAAAATCAACGCTTATTTTATAACTTACTTTTTGCGATTTAACTTTAATTCTAAATAATATGGATCCGCGCTATGTTATCTCGTAGGATATGATTCCTTACTCCAACAAGGCTCCGATAACTATTCTTAATTGTGTGGGGGGCATCAAATTTACTCACTCTGAATTTTGTGTTTGAAGTATAATAAGAAGCAACTCATATTGTTGGAAATACATTCAAATGTGAATTTCCCTTTTCACACTTTACCAGTGGGTCATGTTTCATCGTATCGCGGATTGTATACCTACTTTTTTTCTAATTAAAACACTAATTTTCTATTATTAGTTCAGTTTATGAATATTTAAAAGATTGTGATACAAATGCAGTAATAGCTATACACAAATACTCAAATATATCTATCTATATAGATAAATAGATACCGATGATTCTTTGTGTATAAAAATAACGTATAAAAACGTATTATCTAACTTATATGTTATCTACTGTTAAGTCAAACGAAAATATTTCCTAGCATTCAACATTCCTAGGACATAAATTTCGAACAACAACAGTGAAGGAGGATCAAATGTATAGCTATTACTCGGAATTCTGTTTTTTTTCTACCCTCCTCCCCC